GGGGCCTGGCGACGCGGGAAGCGGACTCACTGCCTTGATTGACTCTAGTTCCAGTCCTAGGAGGACCCCAACCTGCCGTGTGTTTGGGGCGGTGAGTCACCCTCTCTGAGCCTCAGTTTACTCGTCTGAAAACTGGTGGCTTTGGCGAACTTGCACCCATCTATTTACAAAGAAATTATATTTTAAAAAACATTCTCTAAATAGCGGCATATTTATAAAGTTCAAACAATAGAAAAGATGCATAGGGCAAAAGTGAATGTCTCATCCGCTCAGAAGCAGCACTTCGTTGTGTCTCCTGGGGCGATCCTATTTCAATGACAAACAAATATAAATATTTTCCTCACTACAGACAATACTGCAAAAAATATTCACGTGCAAATTCCTTTGGCCACATATGGGAGGAAGTGGAATTGCCCCTGCAAGGCAAAGAGACCTCTGTATTTTCATTTGGAAAGATACTGTCAAGTTGTTTTTCGATGGGGTTGTGCTGTTGATATAACCAACAGTGAAACACTGGTTTCCCCAAACCTTTGCCACCCTGATGTTACCACGGTTTTCTGCAAATGTATTTTCAGTTTTAAACCTCGCTTAATCTGGTAAGTGAAAAAATTTAGAAATTGTATTTCTTTTCTTATTTTCTGCAAATCTTTTTTGTCCTGTTGATTTTTTAGTAGCTCTTCCTCTATCAGGGAAGTTAGTTTAACCAGGTAGTGTATCTTCTTTGATGCTATTATAAAGTGGAATCTTTCAATATATTTTGCAGCTTTTTTTGCACATAGGAAACACATTTATTATTTTTTTCATTTATTTTATTTCTTCCCCATCACCATTTATCCCTGCCATACCCTCTTCCACCTCCACCCACTCTAGGAAACTAATTTAAATATTCATTAAATCCCTTGTTTATTGAATTCTCTTATTAAAATAGCTTTTTAAAATGGTGATGGAAGGAGCCCTGGCCATTGTGGCTCAGTTGGTTAAGCATTACCCCAGGCACCAAAAGGTCAAGGGTTCAATTCCCAGTCAGGGCACATGCCTGGGTTGTGGGCTTAATCCCAAGTAGGGGGCAAGCAGGAGGCAGTTGATCAATATTTCTCTCACATTGATGTTTTTCTCTCTCTCCCATCCTTTCTCTAAAATTAATAAAAACATAGTAAAAAAATAAATAAATGGTGATGGAAGGAGCCTTGACTTGGGGTGGTGAACACAATACAGTATACAGATGATGTATTATAGAATTGTACCCCTGAAACCAATGTCACTCCAATTAATTCAATAAGAATTAAATAAGTAAAAATAAAAGATAGCCTTTGTCTTTCATATAGTCATATCATCTGTAAATATTTTGCCTCTTTTCTAGTGTTCCAGTCTCGTGTATTTTCTTGTCCAGTTGCATTGAACACCTCCTGACCATGTTAAATCATTGGGGGAGGTGGGTGGGCCGTGGGCATCCCCACCTCACCTTGATGGCACGACTTTCATTATTTGCTCATTAAACTCAATGCTGCCTTTGCCTTGAGGTTTTGCAATTCAATGAGGGGG